GGTATTTGTCCTTAGCATCATGTCCTCAAGGTCCATGCGAGCTACAGCACGCGTCACCTTTTTAAGGCTGAATAATACCCCACTGTATGTATGGACCACATCTTGTCTCTCCATTTATCTGTCAAGGGCACTTGGGTTGCCAAGTACCTTTCGGCCACTGTGAGTAATGTCATGAACACGGGTATACAAACATCTGTTTGCCTCCCTGGTTTCCATTCTTCTGGGTATGCACCCAGAAGTGGGATTGCTGGGTCATTCGGTAATCCTGGTTTTAATTCTTTGAGGAACTGCCAATATTGTTTCCCACAGCGGCTGCACCATTTTCACACTCCCACCAGCAGAGCACAAGGGTCCCAATTTCTCTGCAGCCTCACCAACACTTGTCATTTTCTGGGTTTTGATATTAGCCACCCAATGGATGTGACCACACAAGTTTTATGTCAGGGAATTTTGTCTTTTTATATTATGTAAGCTATAAAGTAGAAAGAATAGAATAATAAACCCCATGTACCCAGGACTCAACCATTACAATTATCAAAACAGGACTAATCTTGTTTGATTTACCCATTCCTACCACCAGTTTCCATTATTTTGAAACAAATCCGCGACATCAGGGTGTTAGATTTTGTCAAGTGCTATTATGGGACTCTTTTAAAAAATGTAAAAGGTGACTTTAGAGAGGGAGCTGGCTGAACTCCAGCAGCCCCAAACCTGAGACAACAGCCGGAGTCTGTGCCTGCAGAGGCAGGGCCTTCTGCAGCCAAGCGCACACCTTTCCTGGGCTCTTCTGAGAACCGAAAGAACGCCACGAGCCCTTTCTGCAGGAAAACATGTGAAAACACAAACACTGGGCAGGGGCCTTTCGGAGCTTCAGACACTCGCGGACACCAGTCCAGGTGGAAACCACCATTTCAAACGGAAATCTACCAGTGGATCCTCAGAACTCAGGCATCTTCATCCAGCACCTCAGTGGGACCGGGAACCAAGTAGAAAACTAGGTTCCTGCATGTTGTGGTGCTCAAGTTGTACTTGTATTTCATGGTGCTTGGCAGCAATATCTTAACAGTTCCTGGAGGAGACTTCCCCACGGGCCACCCTGGGAAACAGACCAGGGAGGAAGCGTGGGAGGTGCCACGTTGTTGCTGCATTTTCAGGGGCTGTAAAGGCCAGCGACCCAGAAAGCTTCAAAGTAACACAGATAACTTGACAGAGTCCCCTTGAGTAATGGGGAGAAGTGCAAGTGAAAGACAGAAACACATGCTTTTCCTGAGAAGAAAAAGTCACTTCCAAGAGGGCTGCTTTCCAGGTTGCTCCCGAGTTAATTTCATGGGTGGCATCGCCGTTACCCTGTTCAGGAGGTTACATAATCAAACGTTCTTACTTCACTGCTATGAGAAAGATGAAAAGGCAACTACACAGACAGACAGATGGCTGGGTGGACGTGGACGAACGACATAAGGATTTCCTTCTCTAAACAAGACCCAGGTATGTTCTCTAACGGGAGGGGCTGTGAAGACCCACCTACTCCTGCACACACTGTCTAAGGCAGTGGTTCTCAACCTGTGGGTCGCGACCCCTTTGGCGGTCGAACGACCCTTTCACAGGGGTCTCCTAAGACCATCCTGCATATCAGATATTTACATGACGATTCATAACAGTAGCAACATGACAGTTATGAAGTAGCAACGAAAATAATTTTATGGTTGGGTTACAACATGAGGAACTGTATTTAAAGGGCCAGAAGGTTGAGAACCACTGGTCTAAGGTCTAATACCTGATCCTAAGTCAGTGATGGCGAACCTATGACACGTGTGTCAGAGGTGACACGCAAACTCATTTTTTGGGTTGATTTTTCTTTGTTAAATGGCATTTAAATATATAAAATAAATATCAAAATTATAAGTCTTTGTTTTACTATGGTTGCAAATATCAAAAAATTTCTATATGTGACACGGCACCAGAGTTAAGTTATTTAGGGTTTTTCAAAATGCTGACACGCCGAGCTCAAAAGGTTCGCTATCACTGTCCTAAGTCATCAAGGATGGTTGGCATATTTTACTCAATATTACCAGGAAAAATGTGAAATTTTAAAAGAAGTCTGCAACAAATGCTTACACTCAAAGAGGCTACCCTTCAGTTATCCATTATCTCATTTTTCTACCACTTAGGTTTTTATAAAAGTTATCATTTAATTTTCAAAGCAACCTAATATCATTTTCACAAGCTTTTCTAGTAAGCAAATGAAAACATTTCACCGGCGTGAAGTGCAGAAGTCAATTACTTTTCTAATTAAATTGTTTTACTCAATATTAAGAGTTACCCCATAAAATTAACAGGCCAGGCATGAACCCAAACCATAATGGGCGCGTCTAACCGTAACTTCTGTATTCCTTACCTACTTTAGTCCCCCAGGCTTCATCAATCTCCCGTATTTATTCCTCTTTAATGTCACAAATTGCTGTGGCAGTCACTGATCTGGGAGCCCCGTGTCCAGCTACAAGATTTCCAATGGCAGAAGCTCCTGCCCGACTCTTCTAGAAGTTCAGAAAGGTGACAGGCGAAGTGGGCAGGGAAGACAGTCCTTCGACTCAGGAACTCAGGGTCTCCCTGAGGTTCGGGGGTCCTGCTGGGAGGGGCCAGGTGGAAGTGGTCTGGGGTCACAGGATATCTCTCAGGTCCCAGTCATGAATACCCTGCAGCCAGCCTTGCTCCCTGGCCAGGGGCCTGGAGCCCTGCCCTTGGCTACAGTAACCCTGGAAACGGAGAGGCACTGGGCCTGAATCCTGCAACACCCCAGGCGGCGCATAAAGATGGGGTTTGCAGGTCAACATCCCGGGGAACTGGGGATCTCCTCTGAGCAGCGTGGATGGGCACTGGGCTTAGGGTCCTCTGAGGGTTTCCCAAGCTCTGTCCCTCAGGTGGTGGCTGTTCATGTGTGAATACTGAGAAGCCATATTTCAGAACTCAGTTTTGTGAGGAGTAAAAAGGGGGAGGGGAGAAAGGGATGGAGTGGAGAATGTTTATCTCTGTAGTGAGGAGAGGTGGGAAAACAGAGAAACGTTGCTTATTAAAATGATTCAGGCTGGTATCCTAACAGAGGAGCGAAGACAAACCAGAGGCCAAGAATGCCTCCATCACCCACCACTGCAGTGGCCTGTCACCGGGAAGCGAGGCAGACATTCTAGACATGTTCCCTCAACTCCACCCACTGGGCCGCACCCTGGAGTCTGAGCGGTCAGGCTGACCTGGGGCTGGGCAGGTGGGAGGGCACATTCTTCAGATCTGCCGCCCTCGCCAGCAATGAACAAACCACATGGCCACGGGGCCTGCAGCAAAGGCCTTTGGAAAGCCTCTGTAAGGACACGGGCCATCCTCGGGTCGCTCTTCAAGGCTTCCTTGCCTTCTGTGCACCCGCAGAGAAGGGGGGCCTGACTCTGGTTTCCCTCTTCAGGACACCAGCTCAGCTTAAAACCGGCACAGCTGTGGCCATGAGCTCCTTGTTTTTGTTGCAGCATAAAAGCCCCCTTAAGCGAAATCATCTCATGCATGACCATTAATTCTCTGCAGCATAACGTCTAGAATTGCTCACAGGTAACGCAATGCACAAGTGCGAACTTTATCCTCAGTGTCACTCCGCTGCCTTTCTGTGCTCGCTGCTCCGGGTCCCTGCAGCTTCAGCTAGAGGACCACTGCCCGCCCAGCAGCACGTGCCTCCAGACTCCAGGCCTCTGCATCCGCACCAAATCAAAACCACCTGCTCCCACCTGCTGGTCCCCACAATCCTGCCAAGCCTGGCCAGCTCCTCTGAGGAACTAACTGGAGTTGGGAGAATGATAATGACCTGCCCTAGCCAGTTTGGCTCAGTGGATAGAGCATCAGCCTGTGGACCAAAGGGTCCCGGGTTCAATTCTGGTCAAGGGCACGTGCCTCGGTTTCTCTCACATCCATGTTTCTCTCTGTCTTTCCCTCTTTCTTCCACTCTCCCTAAAAATCAATGGAAAAATATCCTCGGGCGAGGAGTAACAACAAAAAGAATGATAATGACCTAAGGTACCCACACTTGCATTTTGCAAAGAACTTCAATGATTCTATCTAATAAAAGAGTAATATGCAAACTGACCATCACTCCAACACACAAGATGGAGGCCCCCATGTGGACACAAGATAGCCAGCAGGGGAGGGCAGCTCTGGACGATCAGGCCTGCAGGGGAGGGCAATTGGGAGGGACCAGGCCTGCAAGGGAGGGCAGTTGGGGGTGACCAGGCCTGTAGGGGAGGGCAGTTGGGGGGAACCAGGCCTGCAGGGGAAAGCAGTTGGGGGGAACCAGGCCTACAGGGGAGGGCAGTTAGGGGGGGACCAGGCCTGCAGGGGAGAGCAGTTGGGGGGAACCAGGCCTGCAGGGGAGGGCAGTTGAGGGGACCAGGCCTGCAGGGGAGGGCAGTTAGGGGTGACCAGGCTGGCAAGGGAGGGAAGTTAAGGGTGACTGGGCCGGCAGGGTAAGGCAGTTGGGGCGACCAGGCCTGCAGGGGAGAGCAGTTAGAGGTGACTGGGCCAGCAGGGGAGGGCAGTTGGGGGCAACTAGGCCTGCAAGGAAGGGTAGTTAAGGGCAACCAGGCCGGCAGGGGAGGGAAGTTAGGGGCAATCGGGCCAGCAGCGGAACAGTTAGGCATTGATCAGGCTGGCAGGGAAGTGGTTAGGGGGTGATCAGGTTGACAGGCAGAAGCAGTTAGCGGCAATCAGGCAGGCAAGCGGTTGGGAGCCAGCAGTCCTGGATTGTGTGAGAGGGATGTCCCAGATTGGAGACGGTGCAGGCTGGGCTGAAGGACACCTCCCCACCCCCATGCACGAATTTCGTGCACCGGGCCTCTAGTTTAATATAAAATTAGAAAATAGGAGAAGAAACCCCAGCGCCCAGCAAGCTGGGGAAGGAAAACACTTGGGAACGGAGTCCTCTAAGGCCTCTCAGTCATCATGTGCATGGAAACTGCTCAGAGCACCTGTGTGGTTTGTACGCGCCTGTTTATCCATTAACTCTTACAATGCAAGTCGATCAGAAATACAGTTATGCCAAAAAAATACATGCCGTGGCTTCCTGAAATTTCCCACTCTGCAACGTTATCAGAAAATACAGGCCAGGTTTGCCCTTTCCTTTCTTCTTTATCATCGTCACATTTGTCTTGAATCGAAGTAGGACAGGGCGCTGTCCTGAACTGGAACATAATAGTCCGGTGGTAATTCCAAGGTCTGTGTGTTTTCGGGCTCCTGACCTTCACCCACAATGGAAAGCGTTATCGTGCACAGTCAGGAAAGGCCACGCGCACTCCAGGCCTGCTGGCATTCGCTGTCAGGGCGACTTCTCAACAGCTGCACCAGGTACCGCCATGCGCTGACGCGACTAACAAACCCGCGATGCATCAGAAAAATGACTCTGGCCTTGCTCTGCTAGTTTCTGTGTCTTTACTAGCTACGTCCTTACAATACCAATGACAGCAAGACGACTGCTTTCACACAGAGCCCCTATGTCAGTGGTTAAATAAGTGTTGTAACGTCTTTACAATCAACACCGGAGAGGAGAGCTCACTGTTGCTTTGCCGCTGAGCCTCTCGGGAAGCAGGTTTGTTTGAGAGAGCAGAACCGGCGTGACGACGACGACGAGGGAGCCCACGTCCAGGGCTGCAAGGACGCAGGAAGGAGAAAAGGACCCACTTCCCTAAGTTACTCTGGGTTCTGACCCCAGGCCCTGGGAAAATGTTAGACAGAACTCCCCTCCGGCAGATGCTGGTCTCTAAGGAATGGGCACCACACGGCACCTGGTCTGACAGGGAAGATGATGGGCGTTTTATTTTATTTTTTAAAATATTTCTTTAGTGATTCCAGAGAGGAAGAGAGACGGAGAGATAGAAACATCAATGATGAGAGAGAATCATTGATTGGCTGCCTCCTGCACGCCCCCAGTGGGGATTGAGCCTGCAACCCAGGCATGTGCCCTTAACAAGAATTGAACCTGGGACCCTTCAGTCCACAGGCCAACGCTCTATCCACTGAGCCAAACCAGCTAGGGATGAAGATGGACGTTTTAAACTCCCCACAATGAGTTTGACACTGACCATGGACAAAATTCTACACTGGTTTTTGGTGGCTCTAGAGAAGGAAAAGAAATCACAAAGAGCTGGTGACATTTTCACAAGAACAAGGTATCCAAGCCTTTTCTTTTGAGAGGGAGCGTCACGGGGAAGCTGGAAGGACGTCAGCCGCGATCAGGAGGTGCCCAGCACCTCGGTGGGAACCTGACAACCGCTGGTGAAGCAAGGACGGCGCTGAACTCGGGGGCAAGGCACTGAACCAGGCTGCTTCTCAGCTCCTGTGACGAGGACAAGACGGGGACATGGGAACTGGGTGAAAATAAAGACAGGCGGACTTAAATAGGGTTAGTGACCACCCCCCAAGGTCACGGAATGTTGAACCCAGAAACCGAAACAGAGTCTCCTGACCTTTTGAAGGCTCAGACTTGGATAACTCTCTTCAACCTTCACCTTGAATCTGAGGATGAGACGGATGGATGGATGGATAGATGGATGGATGGATGGATGGATGGATGGATAGATGGATGGATGGATGGATGTGGAATGAAGCAACAAGTTAGGAGGTGAGAGGCCTGGCTCCCCACCAACGGGACGGGAGGACCTGGAGGTTCACGTTAAATAACGTCGGTGTAATGAGGCGGCCGAGAAGCTTAGACCAGGGGTGCTAGCGCCACGCCTCCCCATCTCGGCTCCTGTGTGTGGAACCCTGCCTGTCAAACCCTCTGCCCATCTGAAAGGTGGTATCTACACCAGGGGCCACACAGAAGGAAACCAGGCAGGCTGGCCTCCTTTGGGATTAGAGGCCAAAGGCCCAGAATAGCCAACTCAATGTTGAAAGACAAGAACAAAACTTACATAAAACTACAGCAAGCAAGACAGTAAGGCATTGGTGAAGGCACTGACAGACAGATCAGTGGAACAGAACAGAGAGCCTGGAAATAGACCCGCATAAATACAGTCAACTGGTCTGTGACAAAGGAGCAAAGGCAGCACAATAGAACAAAGTCGTTCAACAAATGGTGCTGAGCAACTGGACAGCCACGTGGAAAAAAATGAAGCTAGACACAGACCTGGCACCCTTCACAAAAATCAACTCCAAGGGGATATAGACCTAAGTGTAAAACACAAAACCATCAAACTCCGAGAAGGCTAATAGGATAAAACCTAGATGACCATGGGTATGGTAATGACTTTCTAGATACAACACCAAAGGCACAATCCATGAAAGAAATCAATGGATTTGATCAAAACTTAAAACTTATGTTCTATAAAAGACAGTATCACGAGAGTGAGAAGACAGCCATAAACCGGGAGAAAATATATGCAAAAGTCACATCTCATAAAGGACAGTCATCCAAAATATACAAAGAATTCAACAATAAGAAAACCAACACAATTTTAAAAATATGGACACTTCATCAAAGAAGATATACAGATGGAAAGATGTTCAACAGCATAAGTCATTAGGGAAATGCAAATTAAAGCAATAATAATAATACCATGTCACCCCTATTGAGAATGGCCAAAAGCCAAAACACTGACGACACCAAATGCTGGTGAGGATGTGGAGCAATGGGGACTCTCTGTCACTGCTGGTGGAAATGCAAAATGGTGCAGCCACTTTAGAAGACAGTTTAGCAGTTTCTTACAAAACTAAAGGTTAATTAAAGGAAAAATAAATAAATAAACACACTCTGATCATATGCCCAGCAAGCATGTTCCTTGGAACTTACCCAAATGTCCACACAAAGACCTGCGCATGGATGAGTATAGCAGCTTTACTCATCTTGCCAAAGCTTGGGAGAAACCAAGATGCCCTTCTGTGGGTGAATGGTAACACTGTGGTCCATCCAAACAACGGAATATTATTCAGAGCGAAAAAGAAATGAGCTACTGAGCCATGAAAAGACATGGAGGAAACTTAATGTACATGACTAAGTGAATGAAGCCAATCTGAGAAGCTACCTACCTTGTGATTCCAACTACGTGACATACTGGACGAGACAACACTATGGAGACAGTAAAAGCATCAGTGGCTGCAGGGGCTCAAGGGAGGGAGGAATGACCAGAGAGAGCACAGGATTGTTAGGGCAGTGAAACCGCTCTGTGTGATACTACAATGGTGAACACATGTCATACATCTGTCCAAACCCACAGAAGGTGCAACACTAAGAGTGAGCCCTGGTGTAAACTGTGGACTTTGGGTGGTGACGCTGTAAGGTAGGGGCGTTAGTGGTAATGAGCGTACCGCTATGGTGCAGGACGTCAACAGTGGGGCAGGCTGTGCATGTGGGGACCAGATATATGGAATCGCTCTGTACTTTCTACTACTTTTTGCTATGAACCTAGAACTGTTAAAAGCTATGTTCACTTTGCCCTGGCCGGTGTGGCTCAGTTGGTTGGGTGTCATCCCATGAACCAAAGATTGCCGGTTTGATTCCCAGTCAAGGTCACATGCCCGTGTTGCAGGCTCGATCCCTGGTAGGGGGCCTGGAAATAGACCCACATAACTACAGTCAACTGGTCTGTGACAAAGGAGCAAAGGCAGCACAATAGAACAAAGTCTTTCAACAAATGGTATTGAACAACTGGACAGCCACGTGGGAAAAAATGAAGCTAGACACAGACCTAGGCAGCCAATCGATGTTACGCTTTCACACTGATGTTTCTCTCTCTAAAAATCAATAAACTATTCTTTAAAAAACAACAAACTTATATTCATTTTATGTAATGTGAATTTTACCTCAATTTTAAAAAGGGGTAGTTACATACAATGGAGTTTATGAAACACCAAACAGTTTACTATAGTGTTCTAAACACTTACAAAATCAGTTCACTCCTCCTAAGAACCCTATGCGATAGGTACTAATCTCCTTTTATGAAGAAGGATGGAGAAACTGAGGCACGGAGAGAGTAAGAAGCCTGCCTAACAGCAGAGCTGGGCTTTGAACCGACAGTTTAGCTCCAAAGTCCATGTTCTTAACTAGGCCACTGCACTCCCTGCCGCAGCCTTTATTCTGTGGGGACACAGAGGCAGACGGCTGACAATGAATGCTGCCCTCCAAGATGAAGGGGGCCCCCTGATTGGATGGGTTCCGGCAGAGAGGAGCTAGCTGAGGCCGGTGATCACCCTAGAGAGAAAACAGCAAACTCGGCACTAGAGATTCCCAAAGCTCCCTGATCCGAAGCTGGGATGAACACTATTCATTACAGGAAGACACAGGGTTAAGGACACTCTCGTTGGTCTCTACTACGTATTCCTACTTTTCCTATTCTGAGCTACATCAATATCATAGTGACAACAATAACAACTTCAATTGCTTTCCTCTCTGGAAAACGGGCTTACTGAGCCAATCTATAATAATAGAAGCATAATATGCTAATTAGACCAGACAGCTAAATAACCTTCCGGAGGTGTGAGGGCCGAGGCAGCCCCCATGGCTGTGAGGGCCAAGCCACCTGCACGAATTTCGTGCATCAGGCCTCCAGTTGATCTATAAAATCCCTTCTAGAATGCTAGCCATATAACTCCGAAGCTGGTTTTTTAAGATAGATTAGCAGATTTTTAAAGTTTAGGGGTTTAAAAGTACTCAACATTCTAATGCAATGATATATAAGTAGCCAGAGATCATAAAAAGTGGGAAGACAGATTTTACAAGCACAGGAAGGACTTTATCATAAAAACTGGGAAAGGGTTAGATGACCTCGCAAGGGGAAGCGAGTTGTGGGATGTAGTCTAGCCAAGAACTAGGCCCCGGTCAACAAGGGCGATACAAACAAACAAACAAACAAACGACCATCCCCACCCAGACTAACAGGACAGGTGCAAGCCCATGCATGACTTATTCCAGAAAACGCCCAACAAGTTTTCAGGAAATTAAAGCAAACGGCAGTACAGGCCTCTCTTATTGTAGTAATTATAAAAAGTGTTTTTACAATGAAACCAGCCAAGCAAGGTCTCAAAAGGGCCATCATGTGAGGGGGGGAAAAAAGGAAAGAAAAGAAAAAAGTTGGTAATCTTTCAAAAAAAAATACACATGCTTGCTTTTTTTTTTTTTCTCCATCTCACCCTACAGAAAATACTACTATGGGAAGTGTATACTACCAAAGAATAAACCTGATTTTAACATCTACTTATGCTTTTCCATCTATTCCTGTCTTCTCCACCATTAAGAATGTGTCCTTTAATAAAATTAAAAAGAAACCAGAAGTAATAATCCAGACACACACACAGGGTACTGCAGCCACGCCTAGAGCCCTCACTGGTGGCAGCAGGGGTGTGCTGAACACTGAAAGCAAATCCAGGTCTTCTTCTTTTTGCTTTATTTTTATTGTTGACACAACTACAGATGTCCCCATTCCCTCATCCCCCCAGCTCCCAGCCCCCTTCCCTCTGGCCATCACCACACTGTGTCTGTGTTTGGGTTATGCATATATATTCTCTGGCCAATCCCGTCACCTCCATTCATCTAGTCCCCCCCCACACACACACACACACCCCTCCCCTCTGAGATCTGTCAGTCTGCTCCACGCATCCATGCCTCTGTTTCTATTTTGTCTGTCAGTGGATTTTGCTCATTAGATTCCACATCTAATGAGATCACAGGGTATGTGTCTTTCTCTGACTGGCTTGCTTCACTCAGCATGATAATCTCTAGGTCCATCCATGCTGTTCCGCGCCTGTCGTCTCACTCAAGAAAGCAAGTGACAGTATAAGTGACAGACGTGGTTATAGGAATTAGTTCAATTAACTCTAATTTTTTTTAAAATATATTTTTTAATTGATTTTTTACAGAGAGGAAGGGAGAGGGATAGAGTTAGAAACATCAATCAGCTGCCTCTTGCACACCCCCTACTGGGGCTGTGCCCGCAACCAAGGTACATGCCCTTGACCGGAATCGAACCTGGGACCCTTCAGCCCGCAGGCCGACGTTCTATCCACTGAGCCAAACCGGTTAGGGCAACTCTAATTTTTTTTTCCAGGTAAATCATTTGCAAGCTTTCCTTTGCTGTTTCAGCTATCATTTAGAAGCAAAGCACTGGGTGATATAGCCCCCAACTGTATTCTGACATCAACTACTGCCCAACAGCAACAGTTATCAGGTTGTGGTCTGAGGACTCTCGGGGGTCCCCAAGACCCTTTTAGGGGGCTCACAAAGCCCTCCCTTTTCCATCCATGTATCTGTGCGAGGCCCAATTTTTTTCATCTACTTCAACCAAATAACAGATAGCAACAGGTAGAATGTAGAATCCCGCTGTCTTCTCCTAACCCATGTTAAGGAGAACAGCAGAAATGGAAGCAATGCCAGTCTTATTAAATTATTTTTTGTTTTGGAAAATGTATTTTTCATTGAATATATGTTGTTACCATCTAATGGGTTTATTACTGCTATTCTAAATAAGATAATAAGTATTTTAATAGGGTCTCAGTGTAATTTCTAACCCGCCCACACAAACACAAGGTCTTCAGGGTCCTCAGTAACTTCTGAGAGCACAGGGGTCCTGACACCAAGCACTCTGGGAACCCTACAGACCCTACCACGTCCCTCTAATGGATATTATACCCGCCATTCCCGGACAAATGTTTAATGACTGACACTGAGAACATTATAAAACACCCTCTATAAATAAATTCATCTTGTTTAAAACTCTATGTAGATAAATTTTTACAAGGGAAAGATTTTTACACGTGTTAGGACTGTTATCTCAGAGAAGCAGTATTTTAGGTCATCTTAACTTTTCTTTTTTGCTCTAAATTGTACTTTTATGTTTTACAGTAAGGAGGGAGGGGGACACCTGGAGCAGCATTTCCCAAAGTGTGTCCCATGGAACACTGGTGCCCGCGATGCCTCAGGAAGAGTCCATGATCAAGTCAGTTGCCTAAATGTTGACCATAACCCGCACTCAGCAATTCTTCCACACACACAAATACACTAACAGTCTGGCAAGTCCTGCAGTAATGAAACCTGTTTAACACATTTCTCAACTTAGGTGACCAACAGACCCTTTCACCAAACCACACCTGTGCATGTAACATACTTGGGGAAGCACTGCCTTAGAGAGCAACCTGTCACCCTGCATCCTAACAGCTGGGAGAGGAGGCCTGCAGCTCGCTGCTCCTTTCTGGTGGGTGTTAGAAGTGCCTAGGTCGCCATTATTAGCATGGGTGACTTGTAGTAAACGACACAGAAATCCTATCGAGACCCTCTGGAGGTGGTAAAAGACATTTCTCACATTCGCTTTAGTAAAATATCTCCATACAAAGGAGCAAATTTGATATAGATTTAGGAGCTTCAAAAAACTCAATGAACAGTTTTAAATAGCAATTCTTAAGTGACATTTTCTTTGATGAAAAACCTTAAGTACATTTGACCATGAGCCATTCCTTGAAAGACATGAGGAAGTATTCTCTGAAAGGATGGCCTGCCCATGGACAGTCCGGCATGGCGGCCAGCGGCCTGCAGGGGCCCAAGTTTTCGGAAGGCCCATTGCCCAGGCTCCACCACCTCCATCCCTCACTCCAGGATCCTGCTGACCAGGTCTCCTCCCTCCTGCCGCCTTCTTTCCTGTTCAAGGTCACAATGAACAGGCCACTCCCCTCCTCCCCTCTCAGGCTGGGTCACTCTGAAGCCACATGAAGACTCCCCCTTCCTGCCCTAACCGGTTTGGCTCAGTGGATAGAGCATCGGCCTGCGGAGTGAAGGGTCCCAGGTTCGATTCCGATCAAGGGCATGTACCTGGGTTGCAGGTGCATCCCCAGTGGGGGGTGTGCAGGAGGCAGCTGATCGATGTTTCTCTCTCATCAATGTTTCTAACTCTCTGTCCCTCTCCCTTCCTCTCTGTAAAAAATCAATAAAATATATTTTTAAAAAAAGACTCCTCCTTTCTTCCTGAACTCTCTCTTTTTTTTAATTGTTTAAAGTATTACCTATGTCTCCTTTTTCCCCAATTGACACCCCCCTCCCCAAACTCTCTCTTACTGCCTCCTATTCCAGGTTCGAGCCAGGGAGTGCCTGGCCATGGCTGATGCCCCCAAATCTTTTAAAACCACTCTTCTACTTCAAGGCCTACTTTCCACAACATTTTTATTATTATTATTGATTTCGGAGAGGAAGGGAGAGAGAGATAGAAACATCAATGATGAGAGAGAATCATTGATCAGCTGCCTCCTGCAAGCTCCACACTGGGGATCGAGCCTGCAACTGGGGCATGTGCCCTGACCAGGAATGAAACCATGACCTCCTGGTTGATAGGCCAATGCTCAACCACTGAGCCATGCTGGCCAGGCTTACCACATTTTAACAAGCACTTCATTGGCAGTGTATATACTCACCAGTATTAATACTGTGATGGGATGTGTGCTATGGTTTACTGCAAGTTTGCCCGATTTTCACTTGTTATGGGTTAAACAGATTTCTGACAATCACTTTTGGAGCTTAAACACTTTATAACAATGTTCCCAGGGGAACACTATTTGAGTTCCAAGATGAATTCATAATAGATGATATGAATTGCTTTTTCAGGTCATCTGGGAATTAGAAATGGGTCCCAGGAAACAATACACCAGACAAAGCTAGGTGAAGGCAGCTGACACAGTCACTAGACGACAGCAGCAGAGCAGAGGTGGCCAAGGAGCCTCAGCCGGGTGAGCTCCCCTCCCAGGCAGTCAGATCCGAGCAGGGGAACGGAACCCTGCCTGAGCATCTCAGGAGAAAGGCTCTCAATCTGACCAGAAGGGACTAACTTGTTAGCCACTACTGGGGGTTTCTCAGATGTCGGGGTTCAC